CTATTATTTTATAGATATCCTTATTGCTTCCCTGATTCTTACGTTTCATAATCTTCTTATTTTTACTATCACCTATCTTAGAAACTTCATCTCAGCTGCTGTGATCTGCAATTTTTCATTCAGAACTCAAATCTCAGCTCCATAAAGAAAGACCGGGATGTACAGAGGCTCAAACAGGTGTAGCTTGGCTCACTTCTCTGATTCCGTTGATTGAATTGAAGTTGTGGTAGTAAACTGAATTCGCTTTAGAAATCCTGACAGTTCTTCCCCATATCTGTCGATCGAGGTACCCAGATATGTGAAGTCCTAAATCGCCCCAATAACCTCTTTGTTACTGTAGATCCTTCCACGCTTGGGTTTTTCCAGCTTAAAGAATCTTACTTTCAGCGGAGTTGGTGGTGATACCCTTCCTTTTCAGCTATTTGTATCACTTAGTAACTGGCTGTTGAAGTCTCTGAGTGGTGTCTGCGATAAGAACTAAAGTGTCCACAAAATGGAGGAACTAAACATCAGGAAGTGAATTCCGTCTGCCGATATAGATTCGAGGAGTGCATCTTATACAGCAAGAGGCGATCTCATCCATATTAGTGAGGTCGGTTTAAAATATATACTTCAATAATATTATTATCGAGGATGGTTTATAATATGTACTCTGGAAAGCCTCGATAAAGTGTATTCTCGTGTAATATGAACTCAATGGATAAAGAAAGGCTAAGAAAGGATAAAAATTGTCGGGAAGATGAATTCGCAAATCACTATCGGTAGCGAGCTATGGGATGAATCTTAAGATCTCACAGATTGGTAATCACAAACGGAGAGATGAGCCTTCAGACTTTGGGAAAGAAAGAAATATCAACGAAAGTATGAGCTTTAAGACTTGATATATAGGACTACAAGCGGATGGCTAAGCATCCAGAACCTCTAGTTGCATGAAATTACAAAAGGGAAATAGATTATAGTTGCATTTGATACAAGGAAAAGTCAGGACAAGTGCAAGAAATAAAAAATATACTGATCACGTAAATAGAATTGAATACTCTCTGACCAAGTAGTGAATTAATATCAGGCACCGATCATAGAGCTATTCATACCATATGGGTACATGTCAAACATGGGTACCGATGGTAATACTAGTAAATAATAGTAGCGGGCGTGTGTATTTCATTTCGGAAGGCCGCTAGAATGACAAAGAGGATGGGGTTGTGTGAGTCTGTGTGATTCCCATTCCTATCTTGAACCACTATATCTTGGATTCCTGGCCATTCAGGCGGACTATCCCCTTTGGTTCTTGATATCCTTTGGTACTTTTTTCTCACATCTTACAATTTGGTTGATATTTTGTAGCACTGCTACGTTTTCCTTCATATTTGATGAATTAAGGAGGTACTTGATCTCCTCCTGCTACTTTCTCGATTTTTACTTAAGATATAGCTATCTCCACCTCTTCTATCTCGATTGAGTCATCTTCCTGCCCCCCCTGCTGTCATTTCCTTCTTCATAGACTCAGTGCCAGGAGCGCCCAGAAGGAGATTTTGTGTCGCAAGTTGCACCATCAAACTTTTTGAGGGAGGCACATTTTGACGGGGTTTTGAATTTTTAAGGGGGGGACATTTTGACAGAGCTATGAATTTTCGAAATAAAATGTTTCAACCTAGGGGACAAGAGGAGAACATAGAATAGACCACTGAAAGTGTAATTATATATAGCCTATGGTTTTTAAAATTCTATTTTAGTTCGCACTGTTTTTAAGAAGAAGAAAGCAATAAAATATCTTGGGAGAAGAAGGGTGGGAGGTTCATACAACATCGACCTTGGGAGGGGGATGGGCATCCCTACCCATGCATTGCTGCTCCTTCATGCAGTACCCACGCCATACTTCCAGAATCTAAGTCATTTTTCATTCTTAATGTTTCTCACACTTTTCAGTTTCTGGCCTTTAAGAGTTTTGATCTTCCTCCAAAACATTTTTATTTTACTTTCTCGATCCATGTTTAATATCCTGCCATAAAATCTTCCTAGGATCTGCAGCCTCTTTGACTGCAGCTTTTGTTTTATATAACAATTGATCCTCAAGGTTTCTCATGCAGAACTTTTTCCATGCAGTCTTTCTCTCTTTTATGATCACTCCGAGTTTTTCTGACCACCAGTCGGAACGTTTCCTTGAAGTCGAAACTTTCCTCAATGTGCAAACTGAGAACGCCGATCCTAATATAGGTGTTTTGAAATCAAACCAAAAATCATCCATCTTCTTGTCAAAATCCAATTCCTGCTGTCAAATATTCATAGTGTCCTTTACGAACATCTCTAGCATAGAGCATTATGCTTTACATCAACACGATCATAGGCTCTAAACGAACTTTCCTCTCTAGCAAAATTCTAGTATCAGCAGTTAAGAGCATGTGATCAATGCTGATTTCAGCTCCATAGGATCTTCACAGACGAAAAATATCTTCACAGTTTCTTGGTGTATAGAAAATAATCTATTACACTATTAACTTTTCTTTCCATTGTTAAGAATGTAATCTTATGAACTGACTTATGAGGGTAAAATAAGTTACCGATAATGAGTCCATTATCTACGCAAAATTCGATTAACCTTTTGCCATTATTGTTTAACATTTTTTTACCTCCTTGCGGAACCATTCCTTTAAAAACCCTTTGGTGGTTTCTAGTCGTCCTTACATTGAGTTCTTCTATTATATTAATATTTAAGTTCTTATTCTCGTGGACAGCTCTGGCCAGGTCACTGTTAAACTGTTTGAATCGTAAGTTTGTGCATAGATCTGAATTACTGTAACATTTCCAACTGTAAGACGGATATTAACTGAAATTAATATGGAGTTAATCAGCTCCCATTTAAGGGTTTTATCATAAGATCCTACAAAATCACATCAACTACTTCCTTTGCTCTAATCCCTTGGGGTACCCCTGAGTATAGCAATGCCTGTCCTTTGTCAAGCTTGACTTCTCCACTAATGTTTTTCCTAATTTCTCCTATTCCCAGAATATCCACTTTACATGACCTACTCTCCTCAACAATTTCCAACTCTTTGCCATCATAAGATCGTATATTCCACGTACAAAAATATAACACTTAATAATATCACTATCATCAAAATTTTAGATGGGGCCACATTTTGACGGGGTTTTGAATTTTCGAAGGAGGCACATTTTGATGGATTATGAATTTACAGAACGAAAAGATTCAAACAAGGAAAGAAGGGAGAAATCATGGATTAGACCTAAGTAAGTGTAACTATATATGATCTACGATTTTGCTTGCGCTATTTTTATGAAGAGGGAAACAATAAAATATATTGGAAGGGGAAGGGGAGGTTCATATGCCATCGACGTTGGGGGAGGGGAGAGAGAGTATAAGCACCCATGATCATTATTGGGGAGGTATGAGGAAGAAAGAGACATAAAGCTATATTTTCTTAATCCAAAAATATTCTCTACAAATATTTTTCGAAGATATTATGTTGGAGTTTATTTATGAAACATTAAGATTTGATAAGTTTGTAGATATTAATCATGATGAATTTAAAATATAAGTAACCTTTGATTCACTTGTGCGAATACTTTTAAAAAACTATTGATTTTTTGATCTGCTTTATTATTTAATATAAGATTAGTCTTATTTTCTTCTTGGTGGAGATATTGGGCAATTTTTCACTTTCCTCTTTAAATAATCTTAAATTTTGGAAAATAAATAGGGTCATTGGTGTATTCACAGGCAGAAGAGCATTTAAGAATGAAGCCCCTTCAAATAGAAATATTTTTGTTTTCATTGGTCCATATTTGTTTCTGTCAGTTATCTTAGCTAAATATAACACATATACAACTACCAAATGTAAGCACTAGTGAAGAAAAAAATATAGAAAATTTATCTCTGAAAGCATTACTGTTCCTGTTATATATTTTTTCTACAAGGACCACTTAAACATCATTTAATATAGTTTCTTTTACTTTCTTCCACAGTAATTACCACATAAAAAGAAAAAAAATCTTCACGACCCAAAAGAAAATTAAATCCTGAATCTACTAGTGGTTTGGGTCAACAATTATTATGATTGGGATGAAATATAACCTCGTGAGAAATATAGTTTATCTTATACTTAAGATTGATTATTATAAATGTGTTAAATTGACAGAAGAATGAGAAAACATAGTAAGTTTGAAAAAATCATTTGTTTATACCATTTTCCCTCTAGTGTGGACATAGAAAGAACTAATCCACCACATTCCTTATAAATTGTCCATTTTTTTTGGCTCGGTGAAATCTGGCAGAATAGACATAATTGCAAGTTTTTCTCATTCTAGTATCAATACATAGAAATTATCTTCCCATTCAATTATAGATTATATCATAAAACACAATCTATTTATTGAAAAGTTATGAGAAATTGGTTGAGTTCAATTTAATAAATATCTTTACATTTTGAGTACATTTTATTATAGTTTTATCTTCCAAACTGAAAGATAAAATAAAAACTGCATATGTTTAGAAGGAAGAATATTCTCCAGGATGATAAATATCTTTTTTTGTAAAACTCACTCAAGATGAAATAAGATTAAATGATTTTCAAAAGTACTGTTGTAAACATAATACGAACTTACGTATCACATCATGAGGCATTATTGAGAATAATTTATTTTACTCAATATTATCGATACATTTTTATGATGATAATAAAGTATATTTTTGTTAAAGACCCATAGTTAAGCTATAAATAAAGCTAAAATTTTTCTGTTTAAAGGTTAATCATTAATGTTTGTATTTGAAAAGGCTATGGAAAATTTAAGTTAGCATTTTGTATAATAATTTACTTCACTATCAGCAAATTAAAAAAAAAAAAATGGAACGATTTAAGAGTAACAATAATAAAATAATTGTTTTTATTTTAATTTAACCAATATTTTAAATATACATATGTATGAACATTAAATATGATCTAATTTAATAGCAAGTGTTGCCAACATAATTCATATACAGCCATCTTTTTTTCAGGTAAATTATATGATCAGTATATTAATTTTTTTAATTGTCATTTTATAGTTTTATTTCATTTTTTAAAAAAGTAACTATTTTAGTCATTTAAAATTAGAATATGGAAGTTTCAATTTATTTTACAGGAATACTAGTTAATTTATTCTAGTCAACCATAATTACATTTTATGAAAGATATTTTTACATAATATGAATGTGGGATGTAAACAAAAACTGAAACAACAACATTGAGTAGAATAAAAAAGAAATACAAATCCACAAGCACAAATCACACACACACACACACACATACACACACACACATTCACACATACAGAGACAGACTCATATTTCATTTCCCCCCCTAAAATATGTAATATATAATAATTAAACTCACAAATATGCAATCATATTAAACATTATAAATTTTACCATATTGTGGTGTTTACGTTATCTAAAAAATAAAATATCTTTAAAGCTTTATAATGTAAAAATCCACATATAATTTAAGCTAAGGTAAAGCTAAATGAAAGAATACTGAATAAATTTTTATTTTTGTTTTGACTGCTTGGCAGTGTAAAAACCATATTCTACTTCTGGCACCACACTGAATTTATCATTTTAACCAATATAAAATAATAATTAATCACATCTCTCACTTATACTTTAATATCTTATTAACACTCTTGTCATATTTTCACATTAAAATATTCTTTACTAATTTGTTTAACATTATGGAACATACTTTGTATCTTTAAAAATATTTTAACATACTTTTTATATTGTGGAACATGTCATGTATATAAACACATGTATTTTCCAATTATACCACAAAATATAATAAAATGGCACATTTTCCAAATCTATGTTTTAAGATTAATAGATTTGAATCCAAGCTGCTTTCCTATGATTCTACTAACATTACTTAGAATCAAATAAAACTATGTTTATAAAAATAATATGCTATACATTAGCATTTGTCTTATGGCAAAAATATTACATAAATATTGCAACAAATATATACTAAAAATTAAATATTTACAGAAATAATAATAATAAAAAATTAACATTAAAATTTTATGCATATTTCTTGTGTCAAATCATCAAGATAAACTTGAAAACAAATGTCACAGTTATATTACAATGACAATAGTAACCGTTTACGATATAAAAACTACTAGACTTACACTTGTACATTTTCCAAATTCATTAATCAAAGCTTAGAGAACATTTCATTGCTAATTGAATTTAAATGAACTTAAAATTAGTATTGAGCAAATTAAATTGATATTAAATTAAGATTTTTTTTTTATACATTTATTTCATATATCTATGATCAGCCAAGAAATACAGTTTTTTTTTTTTATATTTTAATTTTATTTGTTTATTAGTAATGCTAAATAAATGGCGTATCTATTAAACCAAGCACCAGTAGAATGATACAGTCATACTTTATAAGAATTTGATTGTGAACATTGTATATTACTACTCTTTCCAATTCCATGAGTTAACTTAATATATACAACTAAGGTATGAACATTCCAAACTATACTTCTTATTAGTGAAATGTACACATGGGTCTAGCTTAAAAAACTTTTGATATTTGTTTTTGACTATTAATATATTATTAACAATGAAGCTTTAAAAAATAAAGTTAACCTAGTATTCTACTCTAAATACTATATTGGAAGAATTATTCCTCCATAAAATTAATTTTAAATAAATTAGGCAAGACTTAGTTTTCATATTTATACAAACTGATTTTTTCTACATTATTTCAGACTATTGTGATGTGTAAAAATATACAGTGACCTCTTAAATAATTTCTTTGTACGTATTCTAACAAATATATTAATAACAATAATTTTAGTAAACAATTAAAATCTAAAAGAAAAAAAAAGCATGCCTTCTTTCACAATAATCAAAAAATAAGAAAGAATTTCAATAACAAATCAAACAATAAAACATATATTTTCAGGTACTCTATAAAGGTTTAGACATGCTTTTGAGCTTTTATTAGTATCATTGTGGCAAGAATTGATTCATATCACCTACAATTTGAGCGATAATCATATTCAATGATATAAAGATGACCTACAACTAAATATTTTGATTAAGTTGGAACCATGTATACAATGGATTCATTTCTTATATGGCAAGTTGTTAATACATCACCAGAATTGAGATCACTTTTATCTTATAATATAAAATGGACATAGAACTTCACTTATGAATGAAGTTCATTTTCTTTAATATCAATAAATCCAATTTTAGAGAGCTTGCCTTAAATACCAAACTGAAACTCTATGATCTTCTTAATTTCAAAGAAACAAGAAAAACAAAAAGTATCTATATTCAGATGTAGTCATTTTCAAATTCGTTTGCAAATATAAATAGGTTTTTTTTTTTTTAACTTAATACTTCTTATTTTTGCTAAAAATATATTGATGGTAGTCATATATAATTTTTAATCTATAAATTAATATAGTCTTTTAAATCCTTTAACAATTTAAAGATAGATATAACAAAAGTCTCAAAAAATATATATTAAAGAAGCTAAAAATTATTTTTATACTATTATGGCATTGTTGAAGGGGGTAGTAAGAATGAAGTATTCCTAACTGTAAACTTAAAAAGGTATGGATAAATTTGATTCCATGTATCCTACTGAATAATACCAATGCCTTTTGGATCACAATTATTATTTCTGGAAAATGATTCTACATCATTAAAACTACCATTGAAATCTAGAGAGCATTTTTTTATTCAATTATTTTCTTTTGAGCTTCTTACTAAATCATACTGACTAACATAGAACCCACTCATATTCTACGCTATAGAAGTTCAATCCAGGTCAAGACTGTTAGTCTTGTCGAATAAACACATCAGAGCTTAAGTACATAAATCAACAAGATAAAGATGAAACATTATTACAAAAATCAATTAACAATATTTAAAATATATACGAATATTATATAATAAAATAACATTTCTTTAGAAGAAATAAAGCCCTTAGTTATTAATGTGTGCAAAACAAAATATTTATAAATTCAATAATATATCTGATAATCTGAGGATCCCCTTAAAATTGAGAAAGACACTGATAACTTTTTATTTCCACCTGAGTGATTTAATGCTCTGGCAATTCTACTAGGATTATATCTAATAAATCTTCACTCTCCTCAGAATGTCGAACTTCAAGCAAAAATAAATCCTCATTACAATAGTACGTTAACATCTCCTCATCAATTTTCGCCAAAATTCTGTAAAAAAAAAGGAATTTAAAATTACTCAATAGTATGGATTATTCTATATAATCTATTGCTTGACTTATTACTAAATTTGTGTTTTGAAGTGGAGGTTAAACATCAAATTATCCATTTTCAACATGCCATTTTTGAAGCTAGTTAATGAGCATAATCTACACATGTATAACTATTCATTAATTGAATGAAAAGCAAACAAATATTGTAGAAGGTTAATAAACCATCATTAAAACTAGCTGCAAGTTAGTGCAAAGCATACTTTGAGCAATAAATGTTTAAAAGAAAGTAACTTCATAAAATGTTTTTAATCAATTTATTTTCAAATATAAAACAATGTAAAATAATAATAATCAAAACCAAGAAGACTATAAGAAAGGAAACGCCAAAAGGGAGGAGTAAAATATAAAACGAACTTACCCTTTTCTGTTTTTTCTATATAAGTTACTAATGCTCGAAGCAGAAATTTTGTACTTATTCTCAATCTGCAAAATAAGGAAAAAAAAATTAATATTTCCTTCTACTGATATCGGGAAGTTCTTCCTATATGAATGCAAATTAAACCGACAAAAAGAGGTGAAATTATTTAATCACTGCAAAAATTCAATAGTTTTGTTCACTGAATAATCCGGCTTTAATAAATATCTTATTTTTATTTCATTTTTTATTTTTAGAAACGGACTTACCCATGCTCATTTATTTATGTTAGTTTACCCTAATCATGCACTTCTTCTAAGCCATAAGCCACCCTTAAAACTTACCAACTTAAATTGTAACTTTCAATTAAAAAAAAATATTTTTGTTAGTCCCTGCACCAATGAAGCCCTCAATAAATTAGCAATTCTATCTCCTCTTATTTAAATTTTAAGAAATTAATTTACTTATTTACATTATAATGTTATTCATAATGCTCCCCTGTTTCTGTCAAGTATGAAGTTGACTTTCAAAGTATTTATTATTTTACTAACAGGCTGATAATAAAGTAAATTGAGTAATTATATAAAATTGAATAGATAATAATTCAGGGTAAAATAAAATTTAGAGATAAAATATAATTTACAAATAACATTTTTTTTTTTTTCAACATCTAAAAAGAAGTGCTTGGTTCCTGTGGTATTGTTGTTGAATTATATGGCAAATGTTCTCAACAATGATCCAGATTTGTCAAAGTGGTATCTTTTTACTTGTTACTTTAATGAATTATATTTCTATTTTGTAGTAAATTTTATTTTAACTTAATATTTTTATTGCTTACACCGGCCTTATTTAAATTGCTGCATATGGAATAATCAGCAGTCATTTGCAATATAACTGAAATAAATGATAAAATTGTCCTACTGAAAGACTGAAGAGATTTCGAACAAATGATACATTTATTTTTGTTCAATATAAATCAAAATTAAAATAGTAGATTACAGCAAGATATTATAAACATTAGAATTAATCATTATCAATGGTAGCTCTTTTGACCTGGAGTAAACAAAGTCTATTTTTATTGATGTTGAATAATAGATCCTAAATTGTTTATTTGATTTTTATAATAATACTCTATTTAGTCTATAATGATTGAATTTAAAGAAAAATAGAATATCCATGCGAGGAAAAATAGTTAACAAATAAATCAATTAAAATGAATCTATCTATTTCGGTTTTCTGTTTTATTCTTAAACCTTATATATTTAGCAGTACTGGCTATCCGATATTGTAAGAATACAATATTTCTTACCATTTTAAATATATATCTATATATAATAATTTAAATTATTAGTCCATAAATTACAGTCAGCAAGCACCTCTAATCTGGCCCTCAAATGTTTCTTTGATTACAAGGTAAATTTTTTAAAACTATTTGTTATTAACTATTATTGTTATTTGTTATACTATATCAAATTTAGTTAATCACTCAAATACAAAGTTAATACAACTTTTATGGCATGAGTGTTTTATCTAAGGAAGCTCATTTTAAAACTGTAAGGTCATTAATAGAAACATATATCTCTTTTTGATGAAGTTGGTAAAAATCATCATTTGTTGCCTATGGTATATACCAAATTATTAAATTGTGGTACTAATATGATATTAAATTTAATAACCTTTAATTTTTTAAAGAGAAACTTTTTTAATTGGATTCAACGTTCCAGAGCTATAGGTGAAAAGTCCTAAAAAATTGAGGCTTTTTGGCTGCCAGAAGTTTTCCTGAGTTATCATTTTACTTGTTTGCATCCGTAAATACAAGACAAAAAAATTTCACCACATTATTTGCAATGTATCCTAGTTTTGATCCTCAACTGTCTGGCCTAATATTTATGAAATCAACGGCTTTCGAATGCTGAATAAGGTCCATTTTACTTAAAATAACATACAATTTTGTAATCCCCATTCAAACCTTCTCCTGCTATGAGTACCCTTTTTAGTGTCTGGGTCTAGACATCTAGGTTTTGATCTGATTTTATGGGTACAACAGTTTGGGAACCTCAACTATATAGTGTCTATATACTAAGACACAAATTGTGAATAAATATACATGGAAATAACATTTTCAGTGAAATCTAATGATTAACATTTAAATTTAAAAAACATAATTTATGAAACATCTTCAGTATCTGTATCTATTTGGTGGAAAAAGGATATTAATTGATGACTGACATAAATAGTTTTGAATTTATAAAAATGCTTGCAATGGTTAATGGTTATTTTAATTTAAAGAAATATTTTTTATTGTTAGTTTTATTATTTTGGTATTACTACCTTGATTGATTGATAAATTTATGTATGAAAATAGAAACATTTAATAAAAACAATAAGCTATGCGACTTGATATTGCACATTTGTGGTAGTTTAAAAGAAATTCAGCTATTACAATCCAATATATAATAAATAATTATCTCCTATACAGTAATATTTTTGATGATTTTATTTATTGAAAAACACATCAATACTTCTTGGTGCTTTAAAATATGTATAATTTATGAAATATTTCTCATTTATGTCAGGATTTCGTTCTTAGGTTCCAAGAAATTACCAGACAGAGGTATATTATGTTATTATTATTTGGTTATTGATTTAAATTTCTGATAAAATTATTTCAAAGCCATAATAGACCCTATTTCCTAAAATTTCCACAGTTGTATGAAAATGTCAGGTAAAACTGTAGTTTAAATAATATTTTCATTTAAGGTTTGTATTTTGAAATTGTTCATATATTAGTTAAAATTAAATTAATTACCAGTTAACCTCAATAAGTTGAACAGTCCAGTTAACCTCATTACCACACCATGCTCTAATTCTGTTATTAAAGTTATGTTCAAATTTAAATGAAATTAATACAAATAAATAATTAATTTAGGTAAAACTCTGTTATATATTTTTGAAGTTTCATCAATGATTTTTACTTTTTTTTAAAAAATGCTTTAAAGGAAACCTTTAATATATCAACTCATCTATAAATTTATTAATAAAAACTTACAGCATTTAGAAGTCCAGTGGTTGTTGGTGGTACAACATGAAGTGGTGTATAAACATCCTCTGACTCCTGCCTTACATATAACATCACCCTTTCAGAGAGTGGTGGTATTACTTTTGGTCTTTTCACTGGTGGACTTGAAAAGACAGTTCCATCTGTTGTTAATCCATCTTCTTTTTTGTCACTGGAATAAAAAAAAAAAGATTAAATGTAGACAGTGTCATTAAAAATACTTCTTTTAGCTTAAATTACAACTTTAAATTTAAAACCTTTTTAGAGATATAATTTTCACTCAGAAACTTTCTTAAACAAAATTTATATTTTCTTTTAAAACACTAAAAAGACTTCAGAGTATAAAAATGAAATACTTTTTAAATAAGATTTTATTCTAATTGAAGGCCCACTAGTAGTTTTATTATAAATTTTATTTTATAGGAAGAATTAATAAGGATTTCATATTATTTGTTTACTATTCCTTATGTGTTAGATATATAAAGTTCAGTTTTGGATTAGTTATAGGATGGACAAAAAACTAAGGAATAAAAACATACTAAATGGATTTGTATAACATCTATGATATGGTACATTTGATCAAGACAATTTAAAAAATAATAGTTTTATAAATAATGAGAACAATTTTTTAAAACTGCTAACTTAATAATTCTCTTTTCAGAATTATTCTGAATGTTCCACACATTTTTTCTCATTATTTATTAAAATATTATTTTTTAAATTGTCATAAACAAATCTACCACACCATAGATGTTATTCAAATCCATTTAATATGATTTTATTCCTTACTTTGTTTTTCATTCCATAACTAATCCAAAACTGAACTGTGTATGTCAAGTTAATAAGGAATGGTAAACAAATATGAAGACCTTATTAGTTCCACCTACAATTTTATTTATCATAATTATTGCAAGTCCTGTGAAGAATCCATTGTTTCAATGGCACCCCAGTTTTAATGAGTCCTGAATTGGAAACGTGATAAAATATGGAACTTAATGCAATAAATTATTGAAAACTAATATTTCGACTTACTTAATTGTTTCTGGGGGAAAATGGTTGTGAAACTTGAGTGTTTGTGTTGGTACTGGCCCAGGTTTTCCAGATACTGAATGAAGTAAGAAAGGGGAACTATGCTTCATTGAACCAGCTTCTCCATTTGACAAACTATAATAACCAAAATACATGTTGTTAATTAAAAAAAACACAAAACTGAAAAACTAACTATTAAAATAATAGTAAAAATATTTAAGATAAATATGCATAATTTTAGGTATCGATATATATATATATATACTACTACTATTGTGAACTTGATATATTTTAAATAAATCTTGAAGACTGGTTCAAAATATGGACAGTACTTTTTAAAACATTAATTGCGTCTTTCAAGATTTAAATTTTTTTATTCTGCTTTAATGTTAATGTTCCAATGCTGAAATTCTCTGAATGAAAACACTTCAATTTTTTTACCATTACTTATTAATTTTATTTTATTCAGATTGATAATTTAAGAAACTATTTTATTTTATTAGTCTTTTCATTATAAAACTTCTTAAAAATGTTCAAATCAGTAGCAAGAGAGAGAGAGAGAGAGATAGAGAGAGAGAGAGGGAGAGAGAGAGTGAGAGTGAGAGAGAGAGAGAGAGAGAGAGAGAGAGAGAGAGAGAGAGAGAGAGAGAGAGAGAGAGAGAGAGAGAGAGAGAGAGAGAGAGAGAGAGAGAGAAAGTAGTCATTAAATTGTTGAAAAAATTATTTTTGAAACACATACAACAAAATAAGTAAAGTAAAATTTCATTAATACGAAAATACTATCTAAAAAGCATGACCTTAATAAGATGCATATTTTACACAAACTGCTCATTAAAAGATAAGTAATGCTAGACGAAAAAAAAAATGTATAAAAAAATAATTGGTAGATTCTATCTGAAATTTGTAAAACAATCAATATTAGATAGTTACAGTGGAAGGGAGATGACAAGGAGACTTTTGGAAAATAATCTAATTAACTTATATTCAATCTTTGGTGAATGTTGTTTTGGTTATGTAAAAAATATTAAGCATTATTGATAAATATAAATAAAAGATATATAATGTTTCATATTTATTTATCAAAAAGAAATTAGTTATATCATCATACAGTAAAAATTTACTCCTGAGTTATGACTTAGAATAGTTGTCAATAGTTAAACTAGAGGTGACCAAAGAGCATCAGACTCAACGCAGGACTTGAACACCCACCCCTTGCTTATTTTTTATTTTAAAAAACCAAAACAAAAATTAAACATGAAACAAAATCTCATATCATTACTTTAATTTGAAAACCTGTCAAATAAATAAGGCCATAAAGAAGAAGAAATATATATATATATATATATATATATATATATATATATATATATATATATATATACAAACTAATTGATAAAATATCATTGGTAGCAATGATAGATAATTTCATAATGGTGCTGAAACAATAAAAATTCTCATAAGAACTGAATAAAACCTTACCTTGATGTATCAGTTTCATGACTGTAAAATCCTTGAAGTTCCATGGGTGTCAACTGAAAAATAAATAATAAAAATAAATAACTTAATATTAAGTAATAGAATTGGAGTCACAAAATGTTAATAGAATACTAAAGAATAGCATATTTCTTACATAAAGTGTAAGAAATTAATATATATACACACACACATATATATATATATATATATATATATATATATATATATATATATATATATATATATATGACCTAATAATAGGTCAGTATTATGATTTCCATAGTATGATGATATATATATATATATATTTTCCGATTTAATTTTTGTATGTTTATTCTTTGTATTTTTGTTTATTAATGTATATAAATTTGAACTAAAAATGTATATCATGTAAAACTAGAAAAAAAAAAATTGTAAACAAATGTAATTCATGTAGTATTGTCTTTAAGGCATGGAGCATGAAGGAAAATCAAATAAACAATCCTTGTGTGGGGTTACCACATAGGGAAAAAAAAAAAAAAAAAAAAAAATATATATATATATATATATATTAATTCCTTGCATTTTATTTAAGAAATATGCTATTCTTACACTATATATATATATATATATATATATATATATATATATATATATATATATATATAACAACATTCAAATATTTACAAAAAACAGTAAATTACACTGCACAAGTTTTAATACAATACTGAACGAGACTAGAGAGAGGGAAATAGTCGTGGTTGTTCCAGACCTTATGGTTAAATTAGATTTCCCTACACACACACACAAACACACACACACACACACACACACACACACACACACACACACACCAATATTTCAATGATTTTATACATAAATACTGAAATTAATTATATGAATTATCATAGTATTTCAAATTTGATAATACATATAATTAATTCGTTTAATTTGTTTTTCATGTTTTAGTGAAATTAAGTAACTACTTCATATGGAAATTGATCACATCCTTAAATTAAACAAAAACAAAACCAACAGCAAATTCAAACCTATTTCACCTGAAAACTATTTTGCTACATTTATAGGTTCAGCTGTTATGGGTTAAAAAGAGCATACAAACAAATTACAAACCTTATCAATATCTTCAGCTGGAGTGAATAGAACAGGAGGTTTCGTAAGGTCTGCCATGCTGTAAAATTCAGATCTTTCGCAAGCTGGGTGGTATAATTCTTCAATCTTTTTCCTTCCTGTTGCTGCCATTTTCCTTTTTGCAGCTCTTCTTTCTTCATCCCTCGTTTTTCTTTCAGCTCCCTATATTCAATTAACAAGTAGTATTAGAAAATAGACATGCAGATTGATTTTTACTATTAACATAGTAATAGCAAATACCAATATAGATTTGAATAACATGACTTAAGATATCAGATTAATAAAGGCAAAAGGTAATAATAACAGAAAAAAGGTCACCTTATCACAGAAAACTTTTATCTGACAGTATCCTCTGTGCACAACAGGACCATCTCTTGGATCTTCATAGGTGTCTATTTGGATGTGTAATGGGAGCCCCTGAGTAATTAAAAATAAATTAATTTTCATAATACATGATTATTTAAGTAAATGGATTCATCGTGTAATAACCTAGCAACATTCTGTTATTTGTAAAAAAAAAAAAAAATACTTTGATCAATTTGATTTTTTTTTTAAGTAATAAAATCCTAATAAGCTATAAAGAAGCTATATCCTAATATCAACAAGCTGGTTAAAAAAAATTATATATTTTATATATATATATATATATATATATATATATATAATATATATATATATATTAAACTATGAAGCTTACCTTGACTCCTTTTTGGCTACTGAAGTCTGTGCTTAAACACTGAACAGCTATGTTCAACTAAAACAAAAACAATTTATATAAAATATACAAATTTTGGCTATAGACGACATACTTACTTTTAAAAATAATACTATTCATTAAAAAAAAAAATCAAATAAAATTGTAAATCCTTTTATTTTAATTCTAATATTTACAAAATAAAAGTTATAATTAAAAAATACATAAATAAAATATTTTGTTCTTTTAATTTTTATATATTTTTAAAAAATCAATAAACAATATTTACTCTTAAATGTAGTATATATGTATTTATATTTACTCTTAAATAAAATTAGTAGTCCAGATATTACTTTGTACTTAAAATTAATTGATTTTAACAATGTCTGCATTGTATACCTAAATACATATATATTTATCAAGATAATTTATTTAAGAATATTTTCACTGTATAATTTTCTAAATTTTGCATTTTGTAAAGGAAAAAAAAAAATTGCTGGTAAGTAAGTGTTTTTGCAATGGTAAGATAACATTTTATAAAATCTAAGATAACTTAAAAAATAATTCATTAAGAATTGAAAATGCATATATAAGTGAAACTCATGTATATAAACCCTTAACAATTTACCTTGGCCGAACTTTCCAAAGGATTCCAATATACTGCAATTGCATTATGAGCAACTTCTTCAATGCATCCAACAAATCCAACACTATTCTTCGTGTCTGGAAAGTAAGATTCTTAGTTAAAAAGAAAACAACGAATTACTAACATTAATAACGCAATGAACTAAATTTAAAGTATTAAAAAAATGAGTAATTTGATTACATTAACATAATTATATTATATATCTTCAATTAAATTAAACTTATGAAAAAAACAAAACAATGTTCAGGATGATCTTATCATCTAGCATTTGAACTACAAGGAAATTTTTGTTGGACTTGATCAGAATGCGCTGCATTTACGATTTTTCTAGATCATTAAAAAAAAACTAATTTCGAATTTTCAGCCACATGATACTTCATTTATAAGGGATATTTAATTCTCTCATTCAAATTTTAACAACAATGATAAAAATTTTGTCCTACTGCTTTCTATTTATAATTATTTTAAACAATATAACATCAAAATTTCTTCGTTGTTAGATGTAGAGGGCAACGTCCTCTTACTACCTCAACCTACGCCATGGCTTGGCATAACCCGTAATTATTAGCTGTTCAGCCCCTGATGGCATCGATTATGTAAGCATTTTGCCTGAAGATGATAATTTTTTAAGTAAATGCTGATGAGGTTCTTGAACAAGAAAAATATATTAAAGCGTTAAAATTAAATATTTGAACTATGATGTTTTTATTCATTAAAATAATACTGCTAGTCAAATTAGAATGCGATAAAGAAATAAATTTAATATAATTATAAAAGGCTTCAAATAGCAGATTTTGAAGTATAACATTTCCAAAAAATAGATATGATTTTGAATATATATTGTGAACGATTATTTTACTGTTTTTCGTATAGTTTATAATTAAAATTGAAATAAATTTCAAAACAAAACAATAATTAAATATGAAATAAATACGTATTTTATTAGAATTTTGAAAAAATAAATTTCGTAAAAGTCTTTTTTTTATTTAATTAATTTTTTGCATTAACTCAAATGTTACAAAGTACTAAACTATTGTAATAAATTATACCACTATACCGCATAATACATAATATTTCTAATTCAATTTTTTTACAGTTACAAACTGACATCATAGTTGATAAATAAACTATTTATCATAATTTTAATTACTATAAATAACATTAATAATAAAATAAATAAATTAATAAACAGATATAAATCAATAAACGTATAGGTATAAAGTTAATTAGCATAAAAAAAAGTTGCATCCTTCTCAAGCGTAGGACAGTTCAAGTTTATTAAACTTGTTGTAAACTATAAACTTATAATGATATAGAATCATTAATTGATAATTGAACTGGGATAAAAATATATATACATTTTGCAGATATATAAATATAAACCACAGAAAAAAAATACGTTTCAATTTATAATTTGTTTTATATTGCCTTTCATGTTCATTTTCTTAATATTTTGGGATAAGATAGAGGAGGCAGTGAACTGCATAAAACACTGAGAAACCTGATAGTACATAAATGACGAAGATTTTAGGAACAAGTCATTAATATGTCCAGGATATAAAAAGGTAGAACTTAAATGAAACAATTACAGAGGAATTTCTCTACTCTAGTGTGGCTGCAAAATATTCTCGAATAGCCTGTCCTAACGCAGTTAGATGAATACAAATACAATTCGGTGGAAAAATGTTTTATAAACATATTGAGCTCTTAGTTTACGCAGTCAACGTTGATATCATCGGACATTCAACGAGTAAAACCACAGAAGAATTCAAGCCATTGTTTGGAAATGAAAATAGATTAGAGACCAGAAAAGTAAAAACCAAGCAATGGCGACAAAGGTTATCACAAGACCTGGAGATAAGTCCGTGGAGTATATGGTATCCACTCATCACAAAATTCACTCAGGGTCATTAGCCCCAAAAGGCAATAATGCAGTGGCTGAAATAAAAAAAGAGAATTGTGGCTACCAACAGATGCTATTTCATCTTGCGCCTCAAACCATGGTCCAGCTCTAAAAGAAACCTTGTATGGCCAATTCCAGAGCTTGGTCTTCCGATATTTGTAAAGAGGTCCTCCGAAGAATTTACAGATCTGTCCAACCTGCTGGGCAATGTATGAGACACTCCAACTTTGAATTATGTTTTATATTTCCCAAACCTAAAGGCGTCTATATTATTAGCTCTAAGGCTGGTAGGACATTTATTAAAGATGGAAGAGGAGGAAATACTGAAAAAAATCCTTATGCAACCACTGTACAACAGATATAGGAGGGAAAATCATAGATTGAGATGGTTTGATGGTTATGGCTGAGGATTCTAAAAGTATCCTGGGCATAAGAAAATGGATGGGTTCCGTGCAGGGATGACATATGCTGCTGGAGGTGCTCAGGATTTGAAATCGGATTGTAGAATCATTATGATAATATTTTATTTAAGTTAATGAAAATGCATACAATATTTGCATCCTGAATATAGAAAATAATTAAACAAAACTACTACTAGAAAAGATCGAACAAAAACAAAAAAAATTTAAAATGTCATTTTGAATTTGAATATATTGACAAAAAAGAAAATAAAGAAATATGAACAATTAAAAACTTAAAAAAAAATTACCTGCATCAAGGATTCTCTGTTTAACACTGTGCTGACGACCATGCCAAAATTGCCATGCTTTGATTTCGTCTTCAGGGCTTTTCTCTTCTCTGAACATTAGCATAACCACGCTCTAGAAATAACAATAAACAATTTTAAAATGTCGATAAATTAATATTTTTGTATATTACTACTAATAATAAAAGGCTTAGCAAACCCGAAGGTTCGATGCCGACACCACCAATCCCTGTCTACACACTTCCCTCCACCGGTCAAATAAAATATTGACTGGAGATTTTATGCTGTTCTGAGATTTTAATTTAACCCATCAGCGTAAACGGCTCAGATGAACATTTTAACCAAGCTGGAAAATATTATTTTAGAACACTTGAAACCAATTAAGCTGCGTAATTTATTCATCTCGTGGTAGTTCGCCACCCCGAAATAAGTACGAAAAAACCCTGAAAAACAGTCCTGAATTCTCGTATGACGTTGATTTTAGGCTTTCAGTAACTTATCAGCAATTTTTTTTAGTTTTTATGTATCTATATATATATATATATATATATATATATATATATATATATATATATATATATAAAACGATAATTACTTGGGAAGAAAAAGAAAGAAACTAATTACCTATATGAAATCATTTTAAGTGATTCTCGAAACCAATTAAGAAATATATTACAAGAGCTATAATAATACTTTTAGAGATAATTTTTAAATATATTCTTTATAAGAAATGGTTATATTCTGTAGCTGTCTGTATATGCACTATAATTTAAAAAACAGAACTTTGTTTAGGTATTCAGGTTAGTTCACTCATAATAGCAGATATGAATAAATTAAAAAAAAAAATTGGGCTTCACCCATAAGCCTCGTAAATCCACTAGTGTAAAGAAATAACTTAGCAACATTATGTGATTTGTGAAAATGATTCGCCGGGTCGGAACTACTTTATGGGTTTATTAACGTATTTCAAGTTTAAAACTGGTGTCCTTTGAAGTCTAGGAATAATTAACGTGTCTATCCTGCGTAAATAAATTTTTAATTTGATATGACCACCTAAAATATTCTTACAGGATTTTGACTCAGAGTGCGGCTGAAAGAGAGGTGTCTGGTTTTAGCGGTCTGCTTTAGAAATATTAGAAGTTTTAAACTTCACCTGATACGCCATATTGAATTAGCGGTTTTCAAATAAAACAAGAAAAAATTGTAGCTTACTTCTAAATTTTTTATCACCACTATTGCCTTTTAACTTTTACGTGACACTTGAGGCTGGTGTGCGGCGAAAACTCGAGGTTTTCATATGAACAAAGAAACCTGTTTTTTCGTACCACCGTCATTAGTATCATTTCTACTCATTAAAAATTTATGAGAGATTCCGAAAAATTCATTTCGATAACTTTTATAATTGACGCATTTACGCCATTAAAGAAACTTGCATTCTCAACCGCATTGTTATTTTTTATGTCACCTAATAATAAACTGAAATCTAAGGAAAGTTCTTTTTTTTTTTTTTTTTTTTTGGAAAAAATTCAAAAACACAGTAGTTCATTTTTGACGAAAAAGTGAGTTGAGCAACATGATGAGACAACATCGCCCAAGTACCCTCACATTAATTAATGAGCATTTGTTTTTTTTTAGTGTTGTACCTAAATTTGCTCACATTAAATCGATTTTTTTTTATTTATTTTTTTTATAAAAGTGATGGGTTAATTTATTGTCAAACACTACCTAGACTCTTCAGGTAAAATTTGCTAGGTGCCCGTCCTTATATACAGGGTGTTTCGTAAGTAGAGAGAAATATTCAACATGTTGATAGTAGAAATCAATATCTACAAAAAAATTCATATAAAGAATTGCCCAATTTCTAGTAGAAAAATTAAGATTTCTGTATTTTTAAGAGAGTCGCGTTTTTTGTTGAATAGGAAGCAATAACATAAAAAAATATTTGATTTAAATAATTAAACATTGTTCCATATTGAGCGGTCTAATACTAAGTTCCGTTTAAAGAAAAAGTCATACATTATTTGTGATTTTTTTATTTTATCATTATTCAACTGTACTACAGTTACCTCACTTTTAGAATAACTTTCTAGTTTAATAAGCTTTAAGTCCATATTAAATAGGTTGAGGTTTATAAGCAAAAATGTTGAGATTCACCTCAAGTTATGTAATGAAATGATTTTCTATCCGGTCACCTAAATGTACCCGTGTTTTCTGCAAAAATGACTACAATTAAACATTGTAAACCTTTTATTTCTTGTTTTTCGGTTATATGGGATGTATTTTAACAAACTTAATTGCCTAAAAACACATTTTATTTTTAAAAATTAAAAGTTTTAAAATTATGATTTTTAAAATATTTTTCACGTAATGTAGTAATGCAATTATATTTTTCTTCCAGATCCCCGTCATAGGAATTGATAAGTATGTATCAGTGATAAACATAATGTTCCTTACTAATATTTACGTTTAATATAAAAAAAAAAACTACTGATTGCTCTAACTATTTTCATGAAAACGTAAATGTTAGGATTAGAAACCTTCAGTTTGACACTTATAAATAAATACGTATTAATTTCTATGACCGAAATCTGGGAGAAAAACACAATTTCATAACCACCTTATGTAAAAAATATTTGAAAAATCATTATTTTTAAATATTTTATTTTTATAAATAAAATGTGTTTTTATTTATTATGTTTATTACAGTATATCCCGTAATACGAGAAAACAATAAATAATAGCTTTGTAGTCATTTTTGCTGAAAAATCTAGTACTTTTAGGTGACCTGATAGAAAATCGCATCATTTCTTTACACAACTTGAGATGAATCTCAAAATTTTTCCTAATAAACCTTAACATAATTGATATAGACTTAAAGCTTATTAAACTAGAAAGTTATTCTAAATGTGGTGTAACTTTAGTACAGTTGAAGGGTTATAAAAAAAAAATCACAAATAATGTATAGCTTTTTTTTTTTTTAACGGAAATTAGAAAAAGCGGATTAGCTGTGTTAGTTCGTTCAAGTGTCCTCTTTAAATAAATTTTGACAATGACAAACTCTATTTTTTTTTTAAAGTAAATTTCGTCTTTTTTACTATGGAGCAATGTTTAATTACTTAAATAAAATATTTTTTATGTTATCGCTTTCTATTTAACAAAAAACGTGACACTCTAAAAAAACACAAATCTTATTTTTCCTACTTTTCTGCGGGAAATTGTGCAGTTCTTTATAAGAACTTTTTTTGTAGATCTTGATATCTACAATCACCCTTTTAAATATTTTCTTCCGCCTACGGGACTCTGTGTGTGTGTGTGTGTGTGTGTGTGTGTGTCTCTATATATATATATATATATATATATATATATATATATATATATATATATATATATATATATATATATATATATATATATATATATATATATAAAATAATTCCATAAGTTGCGATTGGAAACAATGTTAGTGTAAAATACACTAATAGAATTTGGAGTATTACCTCCTATCTCATCTGTTTTTTTTTATTCAAAAATCTTTTTTAATCATATTCGTTAACCGTGGTTGGATCAATCGTCCAATTATTTCTCCGGCAAGAAGATGAAAATAAGAAGAGGTAGCGGCTGCTGATTAAACAAATCCGTATGCTGGCCACGTACTCTGGTAATAACGATCACCTAACGAAACATTATTAAAAGGAAAACAAAAACTAAGTCAATCTATCAATGAACCTCTGTGTTGCTTCAGGATGCAAAGAATCAAAAGATAAAAATGAAGTTGAAAAGGATTTGACGATTGACATTTTTAGTTATTATGAGTTACAAAATCTGTAATTTGCACTTTTATTTTAGACTTAAGAATCGATTCAAATATATATAAAAAATAAAAACATGCAAAAAAAAAAAAAACTGGAACCTTACATATTATAATGATGTAGAGATGGTTGATCGTGAAATAATATGAGAAGGAGTTGATCGGGGGGTGCGGTCTAATAAATACTAAATTTTATAAAATAGTATTTACATATTCTCTATTTAGATATAAAACAAATGATTAAATTATCAGTTTATGTTTTTGGAAATATTCTGTAAAATATATTTTTAGCTCGACTATAATTTTTGAAACAAAATTTCTGATGAAAATTCTGTAAGGATAATCTTTTAATTTAAAAAATAAAAATATATATTCAAAAATTATTCTTAAAACAAAAGTAACTTTAAAAATTGACCTTTTTTTTCAATTATATCATTCGGGATATAAAGTTATTTTAATAATTGTGATGTTTATTCTATGCTGTTTAGTCATTATTATAATGATAGTTTGAACAACTATTTATCTAAATGCGTTTGAAAAGATACCACTTCAATGCCGGATCACGATATCGAACCGTTCCGTAGTAACGTTTTTTTCTCTCTTTTTTTTTTTTTTAGTTTTGAGCTCACCGCGGAATCTGCTCCCAAAAATATTGGCCAATTAACCGGTTCTTTCATATCTCTGCTCTGCCATTAATTTCTAATAAATAAAGCATCTCGCTTTTCAAGCTCATTCAGTTTTCTCTCGTAGCCAATCTGTCATTTTTAACGTTTGGATTTCCTATGCCTTACGAATATCTGAGGTTTACGAAAAAATGATAAATGCCAGGTTAGACTTGGTAAGCTCCACTCAGAATTCTTCAAGATTTTTTTATTTATTTTAAAGAAAACAGTTACATACCATGGCTCGAAACTTCTATAGGAAGTTCTTTTAAACAGTTCCATCTGAACAGTTTCGAATAAACTTTTTAAAAATACAAATTTAATTGAAATTTTTTGTACTACAGTTCTGGATATATTGTAAAACCTCAACTTTTATTTATTTAAGTTCTTTAAAAAAAAGATTACGTTATATTAAAATTTAAAAAAAAACACAGTAAGTTGGCTTAGAGTACAGATATATTTATTATTATTCATGAAATTTACAGTTGTATAAAAATAAATATACATTAAATGTGACACAGAGAAATACAATATAATGAAAAGACTTGAAGAGAATCAACCCATTGGTAGCACTATAATAAAGCATGTAAATTAAGAGATCACGAGGCCATCTACTTTTTAGACTTCTCAGAGGACAGATATAATTTATCTCGAATGAATTGCGGGATACCTATATTTCCTTTGTTTGAGTAAGAGTGTACATCAAAGCAATTTTTCAGATCGACTTTTGGGCGAGATGAATTGTAACAACAGAACTTTTAAATAATATTTTAAAAAATAAATAAAAGTTCTATGAAACCAAAAAATCGAAAACAAAGATCCCAATCATATCGTAGTTGATTAAAAAAAATAGTTAACTTTTATCAATCCAGATCCTTATTATTTTTTGGAATAATTGTGAAATGAATAACTTTTAGTACCTTTCGTGTAATATTACATTATATAATATATTAAGAATAATATCCAATTCTTTCTAATCGGGGTACGTCACAAATGACTTGTGGACATCGTTAGAAGTGGCATGATATTGAAATTCGATAGTACTGTTTAGTAATATAATATAATATATAATATAATCGTCTTATATTATATTAATATAAATTCGATAATATATTAATATTGCCAAAAATTGGTCATGGTCTTGCACTTTGCAAGACCAAGACCGAGATTGGTCAAAAAAGACTCGCAAGACCAAGACTCGTCATGGCCTCAAATTTGGGCAACATTGATAATAACACGAAGCTTCATCTTAACAGATTCGAAGGAACTCTTTTGAACAAAAGAGTTTTTAAAATAAAAGATCCAAGGAATTGACTAATAGTACTCCACTGCACTTTGAAAATGCCCAAATTAAATAATTATTTAATTATCACTTGTTATTCAATATGAGACGAGACACTTAAAAATACAGATAAGTTCCTGATTGTCTGTGTGGGGTCGGATCATCTTCTGGATGAACTTTTCTGTAGCTCTTGGAGCTTACTAATACCTCTTTGAATATCTTGCATTACTTAAGATCTTATCCTCAAAGATGTCTTTGTAATAAAATGTTCAAAGTTAGTATCGCAAAGCATTAATTGTAATTTAATAAAAATACGACTTCCTTTATAATTCTTTATTTTTCTCTCTTTGCGCAACCGGTTTCATTCTTTTATCGGACCTTCATCAGGCTAGGTAAAATAATAAAATCAACAAAAACAAGAAAAACTACTTGCAAAGCTATCAAATAATAATAAAACCTAATTTAACAATTTAAAATCCAATCTTAATTAATTATTTAATTTTAATTATTATTTATCCCTACCCCCCACGTTTTGTTCACATTAGCCGCAAATAATGTCATGAGGCAGAATCCTCAAATTGAGTACTTTGCACATTCAGGCAAATTATATAATTCTTTTCTTTTAATTTTAAATTTTCAAAAAAGTCCATTCTTTTACCTTTTGAAATGGCTTGCAACAGTTTTACCTTATTACTTTTAGAACAATTTAAAGAATGATCTTTAAAATATGATGCATGGCTTCAGCCAGGGAGTCCCTTAGTCATCATTTGACAAGCATGAGAGGAGGACCACCATAAGTTAGGTGATTACCATTTTTATTAAGATTGGATTTTAAATTGTTAAATTTTAAATTAGGTTTTATTATTATTTGATTGCATTGTAAATAGTTTTTATTGTTGTTGTTGATTTTATTATATTACCTAGCCTGATGAAGGTCTGACAAAAGACCGAAACCGGTTGCGCAAAGAGAGAATTATACAGGAAGACAACATATTTTTATTAAATTAAATTTCAATCCTGCAACATCAAGTCTCAATTAAGGAAAAAAAGGGAACATTAATTATTATGATTGTCACAAGTTCTGAAACCGAGTGTACGTTTGGGTTACTTTTTTAAAAATAATTATTCATGACTTTAATCAATAATTATAGCAGCTGCATCAGGATTCATAATTGTTTTTTCTAATTTAAATTTGGATTTCTGGGTCGTTTTGAGTAGAGAGTGCACTAGAATCCATCGTTGATTTATTCAAACAGTTTGGGATCTCCAGTTTTAAAAGTTTTACTTAATATTCCGCAATGACAAGTTATTTCGTGTCGGAACAAGGGAGGAAACAGAGGACAGCAACTTCATATCCGCTGCAGAATCCTTCCCGAAGGCCAAGGAAAATCATTTAATGAAAACTGTGAAGGGAGTTGAGGCAAGCTCCCTGCAAAAACGAATTCTATACATAATGCATGGGCGGCCTCTCGCGGGGGGGAAAAAAAGATCACTTGTCTTCTAAAAGAGGAATATTTCGTTTTAATCAGAAGAAAACGGTTGGAAGTTTCACATTCCTCGCACGGGGACGTGACCAACATCCGAAAGAGCCCGCTGCCTTCCCTTCTATCCTCCGCTCACCTCAAATTAGTCAAACCGTATCTTCACCTCTTTCCTAATCTCTATGCAGCCGGCAGTAAAATTGTGTGTTTATGTTGTGCGCATTTTTATTGGCCGAAGCCAAAAAAAACAAAAAAAAGAACAAGAAAGGTTGCAATTGCTTCAGTATTCCGCGAAATGATTCCAGTTACTGAACACTTCAACAACTTATATCCTCTGAACCTCATAAGTATGAATTTTCCAATAAACAAAAAACTATTTTTTAAAACATAAAGTATATCAATAAAACTTGGATCTATTATATATCAATTGGATCTATTCCTATTATTCCCTATCATTTTATTTAGTAATCGTTTTTATACTTTTTATTTTACGCCGTCATAGAATCTTATTAGCCATAAGCAGCCAAGAAAAATTTATACCTCCAACTATAAATATAATAATAACTTTTTAGATATGATTACAAGAACGTTTTGTGAATTAGGACTCTGTTTATCGATAAAAATACAGAGTAAGTGCTCTAAAATGACACAACCCCTTTAAGGTTATGGAATGTCACTTAATGAATTTTTGCAATAAAGCTAAAATAAAGAGCTTTCATGGGGTGCTTTGGTCAAGTAGGTAAGTACCATATATCTCTATTCATACAAAAAACAACTATCAAAAAATTATAAAAAAATAATGTAAAACAAATGCATACGTACATATAAAACACTATTATTAATGTTTAATTAATTTTATCAATAATTAACTCACTTTGACAGTCTGTGCTTTGAGTGGTCTGTCCGGATCAGGGATGTACTCCATCGTGATACCATAAAATTGGCCCTTGTTTATGTACGTCACCCGATCGTCTTCTCTCCGTTGGTTCGTCGAAATCGGCGTTTCTAGGTGATATTTAAAACCGTACTCAGAGTACCTGAAAAAAACACACAAAAAATTAATTTAAAACTATATATAAACATCGCAATAAAAATTATGATACGAATCACAATACAGCTAACAAGTGGAGGCAAAGGAAATTTTGTCGGATTAGAATGATACACGAGTCATTCTAATATTATTTGACCATTTGATGCCCCCGGTATTTGCATTCGTTTTCATATGTCTTTTCAATTTGAAAAAAAAAATAATGGTATTAATTTTTTGTATTGTTTCTAAACAATTGAATGATGGCATTAAAATAAATCTACATCAATCACAAGACTGTCCCCCAGTCCCTGGTGAGGATGCGAAGTTCTTCATGCTTTGATATGACATAATCTGTATCCATTAATTTTTAACAATGAGGAATATTACTGTTATATGATGGTATTTCGAGTTATACATGCCTTTTTTAATTGTCTCAAATACTTTGATTTTAAAGTAGGAAAATTGGTTGGTTCCAAAAATTTGTAGAAAAACATCGTAACGAATGTTACCGGCTTTTCTTACAACACTGTTCATTAAATATGACTAAAAAGTGTTCAAAAGTATCTGTCTGTGGCGCCAGCTATCAGTCCATGTGTAATATTGATGCAGTGAAGAGATAGTGACGAAAATGCGAAAAAATGTAAGGAAGAAATCTAAAGAGCTATTTAAATTTATTAAGCAGTACGGGAGAGATGAAAACGGCTTTTCCAAAAGTGCGCATTTCCATCGCACGCGATCTTTCAGTACGTTAAAACTAATATTTTCGTATCTGACGTCAAGAAAAGTAATGCGAGCTAGCTTTGCTCAGTGTAGAGCGAGAAGAAACGGATAAGATTGATTTCGAAAATATCATCAACAAGTTGTTGGGCGTTGCAGAAGGCCAGAAAGGTGCAATTGTAAGTATAACGGTTTTACTGACTTACTTTCGTTATAAAATAGAAAATGGATGTGTTTTGTAAGATTCATATTAAGATAATTTACGAAGGGGCGCAACTATGATGCGTGCCCCAGGCGCCATTCTCAATTGGTACTCCACTGAGACTATGAGAACTATAAGTATAACAATAAGGCTAACCATCATTATCAGTGTATTCGTCTATTACATAGCGACTTACAGCATTACGTTCATTTATTCAAATTTAAAAAATAGTAATTCAGTAAGTACGGTAATGAGTGTCCATTAAGGGATGAAGGAGCAGGTTTTCAACTGTACAAAACTTAAACCCAGCAATGAAAGAAGCGTTTTCTGATCGTAGAAATATTTTTCGAATATGGCTAAGACACAGATGGCCGTGACGAATGGAATCTCCATTATAATTATTTAAGGTCGTACTAATCCCTGATTACGCATATGTAAATCTGTATATTCCGTTCTAAGGATCAGGCATGTAAAATTTATTAAAATTGGTCCGGCCGGCATACAAGATCCTCCAAGCCCATGGCTGTTCCTTGAATGTATAATTTTCTAAAAGCACACCAGATGGGGGCTGGCGTGTAAGAGCTTTGTAAAGGACGGCAATTATAGAAGGGAGCTAAAGTCCAGTTATCTTTCAACCTAGCTCTCATTAATTACTGAGATAGCTTAAGTGTTCGACAGAGAACCAATTAAAAAAAAAAGTCGAGAGTTTTTTGGTGGGTAGTCCACTTTAATTGGAAGATTTTTACTCGTGGATAAATTAGGCTAAGGGGGATTAGGGGACCGTTACGAATTCGCGTCCAAGTCGCTTGGCAAGTCGCACGCGCCGTTGGGAAGTCGGATCTGTAAAAATAAATAAAATATAAGAAAAAGGATATATTATAAATTTCAAATTTATTGAATGTGCGAAGTTCCAGCGCCCAAAACCCACAAAATTTCGAAAATTATTAAGTTGAATTATAAAGTAAAAAAAAAGTCAAGAAGTTGAAAACGCGGTTGTCCAAGGGTTTGGATCTTTTACACTCTACAGCTGAGAGGATTGAGAATTTTTGGTTGAACAGACCTCGAAGAAGCTACTGCCCAAACCGTTCCACACAGTGAAGAACCATTTCTTTACCAAGGTGAACTTTTGACGAAACAAGTCGGATCTCGAGACACTGTATACAACTTCAAGAACTGGTGTGGAACTTAGGACTTAAAACGTTTGTTAAATCCGTGAACGGTAATCTCAAGATTGAGTCCAACAGTTTCCATTGATAGTAGGGACATCTAGGTGATTGGTTCCAAGTATATTTTTCCAATTAGGAAAGTATGAAAAAGAAGAAAACTGACGGAGTAACAGTATTTAGTATTCATAATTATTTATAATACTATTTCAAAGAAAAAATACACTTATACACTTCGCTTATAATCTATAATCAATACTCTATACACAGGTTTCTACAGAAAATATCAAAATATATTATAATAATAATAAATTACCAGTTTCAACTATCCATTCAAATCAATCTAAAATAACAGTAAAAAAAAAAAAATCTAAAGATTTATAGCTGTGAAAAATTAATTAAGTTCTGTGATTTTTTCCCCTCTCTAAGTGATATTAAAATTGTAAAAAATGTAGAATTAAAATCAGTTTAAAAATAATTGTGATATAAATCTTCACTTTTATATTTAAAAAATACCTGACCTTGAAGTGTCTAATATTGATTTAAAACTTACTATTAATTAACTTATTTTTTTAATATGTAAAAAATATTGCATCTTGGTATCCATTTTTTAAAAAGTTATAATTTTCCTCTTGAATATTATTAATGTTAATTGATAAAGGCGAAAATATTTTTTTTAAGCTAAGTCCTTTAAACTAGGATTGCTTAGGTAAACTCATATAATAATTCTGGAGTATGAAAAGAATATTTATTATCACACGTCGGGAAACTTAATATGTAATGTGACATTTAATAAATAAAAACAATATATAGTTTTTAATTTTCATCTTACAGGTTTATGAATATATTTTTCGAAATCTTATTATTTTTCGTTTTTCCAAGGATCTGAATAAAGTTGATTTTCTATAACATAACTTTTTTTTTTTAATACTTCGATAACTATAGCATAATAGATAATGTAAATAAAATTAACTTTTAATTACGCTTGTCGAGCTTCGGGGCTCTACTAAACCATCAAATTCCTCTCGTATCCAATCCCTACAATCCAAAATCCTTCGTAAAATCCTCAATGCTCTCTACTAAATAAAATCATCCATAACGACCTTAATATACCATATGTTTCTGATTTAGCTCAATCCAGATACCTATTCTTCCATAATAAACTTCTGAACCATTCGAACACTCTTGTTTCCAACCTTACTCCCTCTTCTATTCCTGATAACCCTGCGAGGCGTCTGAAAAGAAGATGGCCTCGGGACCTTCTATTATGGAAATATAATTGGACTGCTACCAATGGGTAGTTTCTCTTCATGTTGTACATGTCATGTTACTTGTTTCATATTTACTTGTTATATTTATCATTCAATACAGTTGTAAATTTCAATAATAAAAATTAAAAAAATTCGCTTGTAAATTAGTAAGCCATTAAGATATCGATAAGATTTAGTATCAGATTGTTTTTGTACATTGTATCTTAAAAAAAAATACGGAACCATTCCATTTGGATACATTACAAAGCCGACACATATATTTATTCCTCTATTAACTATTCAATGAAATCCATAATTGCAATACGTCATATTATATTCTATATGCTTATATATTATATTGAAAATAATATTTCCTCAACATTGTGAAATTAAAAAAAAAAAAATGTGCCTTTGCATATATTCAATTACAGCATCGACTATAGTGCTTTCTTATCAATAAGCGGAATGCAATAGGTCCAGGTCAAAACGTATTTGATTCCAAACGGCCTTCGATTCCGATAGCCCATGTTAGCTTCGCCGATACGGACCTTTCACAGAGTTCATAGGAATACAAATTAACTTTTTAAAATGAGTTCTTATCCCGTGTTGCTAGCCCTCACAAATAAATCCTTCCGAGAGGAGATTACAGTGCGGTGGTAGGAGGGTAGCAATGAAGCCACGAAATATTAAACTGAGGGGCGTTAACCCTTCGAGGCAACTAACACTCCGGCAAACTGGTCATTATCGCTGCCCAACCCCCTTCCTTCATCTCATCTAACTTTATAATTTAAGCTCTTTTCATTTAGTTCTGAGCAATTTCATTAGGAATTCTTGACATTGGAGTTCGTCCAATGTAGGTAATTGTTTCTATAACTCCTAGACGATTTAGCTTGACCATTTTTTTTTTTTTTAATGATATCATATCGTGATAGTGTACAGTTGATCTGGATCCGTAAGAACAAGTGTCGAACACAGAGGATAGAAAATCCCTAAAAATACTCGTACATATGCCTAGTAACATATTTAGTAATTAAATATTATATAACAATTTTATATTCCGATTATTATTTATTATTTTATAATTATTTATAGGTTTTGCCATTCTTTGAAGTTAAGAGGTGGTAAGTGTTAAAACAATTAACTAAGGTCTTAATATAGACATTAAAATCTTTATTATTTTTAGGATGATTCCTCAGATGTAATATTATGTAATTCAAATTTAATAATATACGTAAATAAAATATATAATTTATAGGCCATTAATGTGTGTTGTGCAATTTTCAGTTTACACGTTTTTTATTCCTAATAGTGCAGGATGTTTTTATTTATTTTTTAATTTGCTTATTTTTAAGTTATTTTATTTTAATTTTTTTTTAAATATACCTTTTGATTATTATTAAATAGTTATTTTGCTTCTGTTAATTTTATATTGCCTGTATATATAATAGCGTGTATGTAGTCTTACCTCACTATAGGCATTGTCCACTTAACAGTGATATTTCTAAAAAAAAAAAATTAAAAACAAAGATCAGGAAACGTTGATTTGTTATTTATTCACTGCTATTTGAGAGATTCTAGACTTTTGTTTTCTAAATTTTGCCTCCTTATTTTAGTTCTTGGTAGAAAAATGAAAATTAACTCACTCAATACTCGATGAATTTTCTATATTTATTTT